CAAGGGCCCTAAAACCATCTTGAATCCGGTCCCTTCGCGACGCCGATGCTTGTCAAAATTCATAATCGTCCTGAAGAAATTTCTGAATCAAAAAAATCCGAGATTGGTCGAGAACCTGCAAAGAAATCGGGCATTTCGTCATTTCGAATTTAATTTTCGTCATTTTCCAGATCTCTTCATTCGCTCGACCAATTCGTCTGGTTTCCACATATTGTGCGTAACTTTTGACGGGCTTTCCAACGCGCCATTAACCGTCTCGTGAAATTACGTATGAAGCAAAATCCGTAAATCGACCCGCCTATTTCACGGTCGTGGAACTGCCCTTTCGCCGATTTGCGATCGCGATCGATCGAACCGTCACATCTTTCAGCAAATGTCTGTTTTCTCTCTGAATACTTGTTGTTTCTTCGTTTTCTCATCGTTCTATAGGAAATCGAGTACGCAGAACTCAATTCTCGAAGTCCCAAGTCATGAATCCGCCGGGAACACCTACAATCACAGTGTGTGCACAAGATCAAGATAGATCGTTAGGTTTTTCGAAGTTCTTCGCCATAGAATAGTAACAAATCTGATTGCAAAACATCTTGGAGGTGCCCGCGACTCTAGAATACCCTCAAAGTCACTCTATCTTATCGACACATTTGATGTGTTATTTACATGTGAATGACACATCGATGTGTTATTTACCTGTAAATAACACATCGATGTGTTACTTACATGTAAATGACACATCGATGTCCTCTATCTTATCGACACATTTGATGTGTTATTTACATGTAAATGACACATCGATGTGTTGTTTACATGTGAATAACACATCGGTGTATTAATACAAGTAGATGTTACGTCCATGTAGATAACACGTCCATGTAGATTCTACGGGTGTGTTATTCAACAGTAGGTAACATATATGCCAGGCATAGATGATAATCTCTCATAGCCTTGAAGACTCACACGTTGAGGCTTTGAAGCGATGAGAGGGAGAAGTTTGACGTTTGTAGCAGAAGATGTTCTCTCCCCGTAAATAAATTGGATACAAGCCACTGTGAATGATGCTATGACCTAATGAGTTGTTGATTAGGTAATGGATGCTATGGTCTTTAGTAAGCACTGTTTGGCTGTAAAAATAAGAGGCGCTTCTGAGCAACTGTTTGCGCGAAGCACTAAGCAGTGTTTCAACGCCTCTAAAGTTTAGAGTCTAAACAGACTATTTCGCTGTTACTCCCAAGCAGTTGAAAGTGCAAACTGCTTGGGTGCTTGGGTGCTCACCCAAGCAGTCTGCTTGAAGCAGTTAAGTTCTGCTTGGGAGTAAATCCAAGCGGGCTGCTTGGGGCGTCGAAACACTGATTGAGTGCTACACCAAGGCAGTTCTTCACTGCTCCTGCTCCTTTAATTTGTACAACCAAGCAGTGTTTACTATAGACCAGAGTGTCGAAGAGGTTGGGTGAAGAGGAAGAGACATGATTTGATAGGTAGTTTAGATAGAAAGGCTGACGAACTCGGAAGACGAGGCAGAGACATACTGACTAGGAGGAGATGCTGAGGAAGTTTGTCGAAACTGAAGATACATTATTCTGTACACAAAAATCTTGGAGTTCTGGAAGACTAAGAGAAAGTTTTTTACTACAAGTTGTTACGTATATAGGTAGATACATTAGAATGGCTGATGACTACGAGGGAAGGGGCGAATATT